TGTCCCCTCAGAACATGTGAGAAAGTGCTGCCAGCATCTTCTGGAAGATTAGGAGGGCAGTAAGATTCCGTAGCCACCTTCCGGCTGACATTTGAGCCCTGCTTTCAGCACGGTCAAGCCTTTTGGAGGAAGCCAGTATATGGTTTGTATCAAACTCTATATTTAGGAAGAACAACTGTGAGTTATGACAGGAATTCTCTTTAACACTTAGCCTGAAACCGAGTTTCCCTCTAGCCCCGAGCGGGGAGCAGCTCTCAGTACTGAGTGAGGCACTGAACACTTGAGCTATTTCAGCCACATGCAAAGCATCGGAATTGAGATCACAGCTCAGAGGACACCAGGCGTCCCTTCCACCTTCTGAGGAGCCTTGTATTCTTGCATCTGGCTGCTTGGGACTTTCCTTAGGCAGTAAACAAATACATAAAGCAGGTAAGCAAGAGGACCCAGCTCAGGGAGCTGGGGATTTCTGAAGGAGATTTCCTTGATACCTAACTTGAAGTGACTACTTAGAACTTTGTAGGCTTGTGACTAGTGGATGTAGCTTCCCTATAAATTCACTGTTCAGTGGTATTGTTGCTGATCCTGTTTTATAAGTTGTGTGTGTGTGGGGGAGAGAGCTATTTGAAAGAATATCGAACTAAAACTAGTTTTCACCGATGGTGCCATTACAAAAATTTCCACAGTCCAGATAGGATGACTGTGATCCTGAACATCATGTCATTTTCATTCTTATGGCCAGGATTACAGTCAGTCAGCTGCAGAGTGATTCAGGCTGTAAGGCTAGAAATAATCAGGAGAATTTGCAGCAGAGGAAACCTGTAATGCTAGCTCTCTGATTTACCTAAATGCAAATGATTGCTGGAGTTGTTGCACAGTACAAGTTTAAAATGCTTTGCCCCTCTCCCTAAGCACCGGGCTTGGCCCCAATGATAAAGTTCTATCAACGTACGGATCGATTAACATTCCAAAGGCATCTTTTTGAAAGCGCCACTTTGGTCAGGTGTTCCCGGTGCCCAGCAGGGTGGAGGGCAGCACTTGTCTGTCTCTGTAGGCACCAGGTTCTGAGACATGGCAACGATGAGAGTGTCTCTTGCCTCTCGGCATATTTCAGGCAAAGTGAATAAGGAGTTAGTCAGTTCAGACAGCTGAACATCTTTCTACACTCTTCTCAGGGATTATTTTTAGCTGCGGGACAGAAGATAATTCCCTGTGAGAGTGAGCTTCAGCCATTTAGTAGACCTTGAAAAAGAACAAACAAAGCCCCTTCTATCCAGATATTGATTTATTTTGCTCTGAATCCCTTCTTATTAAATTAGTGATATTAATGTTGACAAATTTTTAGTAAGTGTAAGAGTCTTATTTAGAAGTCAGATATTAGGTGCTGCCCAATCAAAACATCAGCAGAGGTATATTGTATATGACTCAGCATACAGACCGTTAAAGTTCCCCCACTGACTTGCAGATCTTCCAGGAAAACCCAACTGTACTAATCTGGCAAGCATTTCCATTATAGTATAGGCTTTGTAAAAGTCAATATGTCTTGTCAAACTTTCCGTGTTCCAAAATTTTAGCCAGAACCAGGAGACACAGTAATAGAGTGCTTTAAAGAGTACCTCTTTAGATGAAAAGCGGGGCCAGCTGTGAGTAGACTTGTGCGTCTAAGGCATAGCTTTCTTTTTTGTTGGTGAGACGAGGCGTGCAGATAAAGAAGGAAGGTGCATTCTACACTGCATCCCTAATGGAGGTGAATGCAGGGCCAGGGAAACAGCCAGGGAACACTGTCTATTTTTATTCATCAGCGTGCTTTGCCCTGATTTCTCTGCAAATAATGAGGACAGCGGGAACGGCTTGCAGGACTGATTTACACAAATGTTATATGGCCTGTTTTCAAGGAATGAGAGCTGGGATCTGACCAATTTTCTAAAGATGTTTCTATTGCAGATTGACATATATGTTAAGAAGGAATTCATATGTAAATGAGATTATACAGAGGCTATATAGGAGACAAGGCCCAAGGTAGATCTATCTTTTAGTCTCAGAGGTCCACAAGAAACAAAGCAATCCGATAGTTTAGTGAAAAAAAACAAAATCAGCCTAATTAAAAAAAAAATCAATGTCATATAAATAATACAATCATTCATTGCCTAATTTTTTTTTACATTTCAACATGCTATTGTAATAACAAAAGAAATTTCCTACTTCTCATGTTTCAAATCAATGTACAGTAACTTTTTAAAAGTTTCAAGTGATATTGGTTAGACTGTAGCTGTACACACAGAGAAAACTATATGCGGAGATGTTTAAAGTCCTGTGAGAACTATTGCTTTGCATGACTTCTAATAGCTTTTGAGGAATAGAGACATTAAATATTAAACTACTAAGCTTTTCCTTTTGAAATTGAACTATGTATCCTAGATCCAAAAATTAAAAAGCCTTCATTGAATCTTTGACACTATAGGAAAGACAGAAATCTATATGAAACATGTCATAGAGAAAAATGCATTCCTAATTGTTCAATTTCTTGTTGCTTTTTAATTTTTTAACCAAAATGAAAATAATTCTAACTAGGCTCTTCCGGATGGAGGCCATATATCTATGTATTACCAAAACATTCAGGTGAAACTTTAAAAAATCTCATTGTTTTCATGTATGTGACTCCAAAGACTTATATTTGGATTAGAGATTTAAAAAATTAGGGGCGCCTGGGTGGCGCAGTCGGTTAAGCGGCCAACTTCAGCCAGGTCACTATCTCGCGGTCCCTGAGTTCGAGCCCCGCGTCGGGCTCTGGGCTGATGGCTCAGAGCCTGGAGCCTGTTTCTGACTCTGTGTCTCCCTCTCTCTCTCTGACCCTCCCCCGTTCATGCTCTGTCTCTCTCTGTCCCAAAAAAATAAATAAACGTTAAAAAATTATGTAATTGTTTGACTTCATATAATAGAACCTGAGACTTTGAAAATCTAAAAGAACATGTTTTTCAGAGTTCTCAGCTCTTTTTTCTTTATAAGTGGTGGAGGCGTCACTACATCAATTCCTTTTTTTTAAATTTTTTAAAAATGTTTTTATTATTTATTTTTGAGACAGAGAGAGAGCATGAGTGGGGGAGGGGCAGAGACAGAGAGGGACACAGAATCTGAGGCAGGCTGCAGGCTCTGAGCTGTCAGCACAGAGCCCGATGTGGGGCTCAAACTCATGGAGTGTGAGATCATGACCTGAGCCGAAGTTGGATGCTCAACCGACTGAGCCACCCAGGCGCCCCACATCAATTCTTTTTTTAAAATGTGTACTTATTTTGAGAGGGAGAGAGAGAGCATGAGTGGAGGAGGGGCAGACAGAGAGGAGAGAGAATCCCAAACAGGCTCCACACTGTCAGCGCAGAGCCCGACATGGGGCTCAATCTCACCAACCGTGAGATCAGGACCTGAACTGAGATCAAGAGTCGAACACTCAACTGACTGAGCCACCGAGGCACCCCCACCAATTCTTTCTCCATACTTGAAGCTGTAGATCAGGAAAGTACAGAAAAGTCACTAGCTGTGGACAGTGGCAATAAAACAATAAATATTTGCATCAAGCTTAAGTGTTCACAAGGTAGTTTGGGGAACATTATGTCATTTTGATTCTCACCACAGCCTGTGAATCAGGTAAAATTTGAGGAAGAGGATAGGGGCCTATAAATGTTGAGTGACACAGGCCAGGTTGCACAGAACTTGTAGGAAATGCCCACGCTGCTGTCTGTGTTCATTTATTCACAGGTTAGCACGTGCATTTACACCAGTCAGTAGAGGAATGTCACTCAACCCATTTTATACTTTGGGTTTAAGTAGCAGTATGTTTTTCATTCACTCAATTTTCACCTTTTTCCACTGGGCCTGTCAACATTTAATAGACCTAGCTATGACACTATTTAGACTTGCGATAACATGCCAGAGCTGGGCTGTTCCCTGTCCCCCTAGCGCCAGGAAAACCTTGGCCACTAGTCACTGTGCTCTAAGCCAGGTCTCCTGATCTGAAAGAAAGCACAAGTCCTTTGGGAAGGAAGCACTGCTACATCTTGGGGAAATGATATAGTCATGTAAGTCCTATTTGCCTTCTGAGGCTATTTTGTTAAGAGAAGAGACGACACAGCCACCTGGGTGGCTCAGTCTGACTCTTGATTTCGGCATTGGTCATGATCTTGAGGTTCATGGGACTGAGCCCTCCATCGGGCTCTGCCCTGTCAGTGTGGAGTCTGCTTGGGATACTCTCTCTCCCTCTCTCTCTTCCCCTACTCTGCTCGTGCTCTCTCTCTCTCCCCGCCCCCCCCAATATAAGTAAATTAACATGAAAAAACATAAAAAAAAAAAAAGAAGACAGGTGAGGCTTATGGCTGCCTGTGTTTACAGAGCCTGGGGTCTGCACACTGTGTGGGGAGAGGTGGCCCTATCCTCACAGCGTCTCCCAGGGCTGTGCACAGTGAACACAGACAATGTGCACAGTGAGCCGAGGGCGTCACAGGAGAACGTAGTTGAGGCCATTTCTATTTGGGTGTTCGTGGAGAGGAGGAGCTCCCAGTGGACTGACACACAGCCCCGGCAACAGCTCATTCAGATCACAAGTTCAGTTTCAGGCGGAGAGCTTCTGAGGCCCCAAACAAAGGTGTTTTTTTTCCCACAACCTCTTTGCTTTGCTGCTCTTGGCAGTGGGGGCAGGAGGGCAGGGAAGGAGATGATAGAGCCTTTCAAGTTTCTGATTGCCTATCATTCGATCAGGGGCAAGGCGTCTCAGCATTTCTCCTCCTGAATGATTTATCCGGGCGCTCTAGTGTTCCCTCTCCCCAAGGCATTAGGAAGGAGAGTCTCTCAGTAACTTCGGAAACTGAGACGGAAAGAATATATGGCCAGTGAAAGGGGTGACTGCCCAGTTGAATCATGAGTTAAGTTCTAATTTATCAAGACTGAGAATCTCAATGCCGCCACCTTTAACAGTTTCTCACTTGTTTTTTTAGGGATAAGACCCCGTGAATATGTCGAAACAGCCGGTTTCCAATGTCAGAGCCATCCAGGTAAGTAGGCATATTTCTGTTTTAACATCAGCTCTGTGACGCCTAGCCTGTTTGCTTAATAACTCAGACCTTTTGTGATTGTTCACCCCTAACTTGGTAATTAACTTCAAGAAAAGCGCGACTCATAGGGCACAAATGAGACAGGATATAAGGCTGGTAAGGTACGACTGAGGAGGGAGAAGCTATTTTTGCTCAATTGTGCTCAATTGTAAGACAATCAAAGTTATAACTAAGAATCAAATGATTGCCTACCAAAAAATGCAGTGTTTATTTTTTGGACGTTTTTCAATCTGTATGTTTTTGACGTGCTCATGATAGCCATTAAAAAAATCAATTTCCATTTTTATATCCAATTAAATTTGCTGACCCATGTGTTTAGAATACATCCTTTCCTGTCAAGTGTTATTCCCAAGGTTTGGGTATTTATCTTGTAAAGTCTGTATGTTATTATGTCTCCTCCTGTCTTCCCAGCAAACAAATTCTTTGGTTGTTTCCACTGACTTAAGAGTCACCCCAAAAAGGGGAGGGGGAAACAGGCATTTTGGAACACAAATACAATTACAAAGGTAACTTTCAATATTGTTTTTACTCAATACTTAATTTTTTTTTTTGAGGTTTCTGGGTTTAACTCTCAAATGGCTCCCACACTGTGATGCTGGGCACACTGCTTTAGTATAAATTTCCATCTTTCTCTTCCATCAACATGGAGTCATCTGTGCTTTCTCTAAAGGAGCTTTTAAACTTTTTTTTTTTCCTGGACTTTTCTGAATCCCACAGGACATGAGGCATAGTTCCTGAATATTTGGGGTCTGATGCACTGTCACAGCATAAACATAAGCGATTGACCATATTGTGGAAGGGTGTGCATGTGGCCAGATTGTGGGGTTAGAAATCCTAGCACACACTGGTGGTACACGAGGTGGGTGGGGGGACAAATCCTCACCTGTCATGACTAATGCACAGTCTTAAGTGGATGGGCTTCTTAAGTGGAAAGATGTATTACAACCTCTGGAAACCAGTCATAGAACAGACTACCAAGAAAGAGCCTACTGGCAAGGATCCAACTCCGCATTGCCACGTTTAGCCCTGTTGTGTCCACCTAGTGAGTGTCTGACATACCTTGAATTTATTTTGCCTCCCAGATCTGTGGGCATCCTTGAGCCTTTGAATCTTCTTTACATGAGTTTGAATCCTTAATCCATACCAGTGTGGAATCATGGGAAAATGACTTCATCTCTCTGCCTTTGTTTCCACATCTGTAAAATGGGGATAATTGTTATTATCATGTCCTCATGTCCTAGAGCTACACATACAAGTTGTTTAAACAGCATAGTAAGCCCTCATTAAGTGACAATTATCATAATAATTATCATTCAGGAATGCTCTATGTTAATGTGAAGAGAAATAATACCATTTAACCACTGCATTTAAAGCTCTCAAAGTGCTAAACAGAAAATTTCCTTTTTATTTTGCAGGACAGAAAAACATACTCTTCTCTCAGGCTGTCTTTGCTTCTTTTCCTTTTAAAGCTAAAAGTGTGTTGATTTTTCTTCCTTAGCGCTTTCTAGCTTCCCTCACATCTACACTGAAAATTCTCCAGTACTTTATCTACTAATTTTGACCTTGATATATTTTTAGGTCTGTAATGTTTAAAAAGCTGCTATTGACTATTCTCAGTAGCTGTTATTTTACTGCATTTAAAAAATTCCATCCACTCTACCAACAAAGGCAGTAGAGTGATTTCTTATGGATGTGGTATTGCCTCTTTCAATATACTTTATGCCACTCAAAAAGCCTAATTTAAGGCACCTTCAAATGAAATATTATTTCTTGTGGCTAAATAGGATCTGCACTATCTGATACTTTTCTATAATTTCTGCATTAACCTAAAGTAGGGTCTATTAAATAAAATATGAAAATGGTTACACTATGTAAAACGGTTTATAGTAACATTATTTAGGGTACAGTCCTGTCTGGAACAAATAGAAACCCCAAATGATGAGGGAATGCTTTTATTGTTTAAATACCACTTAAAGATCTTAAATGTTCTATTCAACACATTCTAGTTGCTTCTTCTTTTTTATTTTAAATTAAAAAAAATTTTAACATTTATTTATTATTTTTGAGAGACAGAAAGAGAGTGCGAGCAGAGGAGGGGCAGAGAGAGAGAGGGAGACACAGAATGCGAAGAAGGCTCCTGGCTCTGAGCTGTCAGTGCAAAGCCTGATGTAGGGCTTGAACTCACAAACCTCAAGATCATGACCGAGCTGAAGTTGGATACTTAACCAACTGAGGCACCCAGGCACCCCTTGAAGTTTTTTTTTAAATTTTAGAGGGAGAGACAGTGCAAGTGGGGGAGAGAGGCAGAGAGAGAGAGAGAGAGAGAGAGAGAGAGAGAGAGAGAGAAAATCTTAAGCAGGCTCCATGCTCAGTGTGGAGCCCAATGTGGGGCTTGATCCTACAACCCTGGGATCATGACCTGAATTGAAATCAAGAGTAAGACACTCAACCGACTGAGCCACCCAAGTGCTCTGCTTCTCCTTTTTATCAGGATCTTATTTCCAATTCAACTGTCATTTCCTGGGTATACAATTTGTGACAGGAACTGTGCAAAGTGCAGGCCATGCAGAGATGAACTGATATCCGATTCCTCTCTTTGAGGAGCTCATAATCTCCAGGCCTTACTAGCTGTGTGACTTTGGGCAAGTTGTTCATCCTCTTTGTGCCTTGGTTTCCTTATCTATCAAGTGGGGAATTAATAACAGTACTGTTCTCATAGGTTTGCTCAGAGAGTTAAGTGAATTAATACATGTAAATACTCAGGCCAGTATCTGGCTTATTATAATTGCTTAATCAATATTAGCCATTATCATCAATCATCATCATCATCATCATCATTATCATCATATCACCACCATCATCTAGTTCAACAGTTCCCAAAGTCTGTCTCTTAGAATACTAGTTTTATGGATGCTTTTTGTTAATTAAAGGATTCCATGATAAAATGTTTGGGAAATACTACATTAAGCAAAGTTGAATAGGATCTTTACTGCATAATTTTTCAGAGTCCGTAACTTGGTAATGGCTTCATGTATTTCCAAGAAAATGATGATGTATGCAAAGTTTTATACATATTGGACCTTTAATTTTTTATTATATTTTTTAAATGTTTGTTTATTTATTTAGAGAAAAAGCATGAGTGGGGGAGAGGCAGAGAGAGAGGGAGAGAGAGAATCCCAAGCAGGCTCCATGCTGTCAGTGCAAAGCCTAATGTGGGGCTCAATCTCATGAACTATGAAATCATGACCTGAGCCAAAATCAAGAGTCCGATGCTCAACCAACTGAGCCACCCAGGAATCCCTAAATATACTGGACCTTTTAAATGAGTATTTTGCAGGATAGTATTTTGCAGCACAAACTTCTAAAAAATAATGTCTTAGATCTCTATTTTGTCTGGATTGAGCAACTTAAGCCACTGTCAGCTATACTTACAACAGGTGGGCATTTAGATAGTTGAACTATTGCATCTGTGTGCATCAGACATGTTAAGGATTGTTATAATGAATAAAATAATGAATAGCAAGGCCCTGGTTTATAGCACACAATTCCTTAAAAGATCTCTCTCCTTTTAATTTTTTTTAATGTTTATTTTTGAGAGGGGGGGAGGGTCAGAGAGCAAGGGAGACAGAGAATCTGAAGCAGGCTCTGCATTGTCAGTGCGAAGCCCAATGTGGGGCTTGAACCCATGAACTATGAAATCAGGACCTGAGCTGAAGTTGGATGCTCAACCGATGGAGCTACCCAGGTGCCCCAAGAGAAGTCTCTTTTAACTCTCCAGGTAGTACATGGAATGGCCTTGGTTTCTTTTCAGCTGGTTCCATCTCCCCCATGCCCCAGATTAATAAGGGAGGCCAGAATTAGGCCTAACCTCTGAGGACATGGACAGTTGTCTTTCATATCCACATTGAAAAGGTGGCTTTGAATTATAAGGGGATTCTATATAAGTCTGCATTACTTTTCAGTTGTATTAATGCAATCACATTTATGCCAGGGACATAAAAATATCCTGCAGGAGTCAGTTGATCCTTCCCTTGCCTGGACAGGGCCTCTGTCTCCTAAGCAGCTATAAGGCTGTATCCCAGATGTTGGCAAATGTTTTCTATAAAGGGCAAAATAGTAAATACTTCAGGATTTGCACATCATTGGGTCTCTATTCTGACTACCCAACTCTGCCATTATAGCACAAAAGCAGATATAGGCATTACATAAATGAATTGAGTGTGGCTGTGTGCCAATGCAACTTTATTTATAAAAACAGGTGGCAGGTTGGATTTGGTCCATGGGCCATAGTTTGCTGACCTTGGTTCTGTACTCTCCAGGCTGCTTGTTAAACCCCATTGTTGACGGGGATGGAGTTGCAACCAAGGTAACATCAGCACACTCAGCATAGTGGGTCTGGTCCCTTCAGATGAAAGAATTTGAGATGACAGGTGGGGAAAGCTAGAGCTGGTGGGAAATCCAGTCCTATCGGTGATCTGCTCAGCAAGTCTCTCTAATGAGACCAAGTGACACTGGCCACTGGCAGCACCTGCCTGTCCTTCCCCTTCCTTCTGAACACACTCCCTTTGGAAATCACCATGGGCCTCAGCTCACCCAGAGCCAATGTTCTCTGGGTCGTCACTGGCTTTTATCTCCACCATTGATCAAAGTGAGCTGAGTTTTATGTGTCCTTTCTCATGAGATCAGAGAGCTTCATGGTTGAATGGAAAAGAGTCCTGTGCCCTACTCGTAGCTCTGCTCTGTGACTTCACCCGCCCCCCCCCCCCCAGTCCTCATGCTATGCAAAAGGAGGGTGTTGCATTATATGGGCTCCCAGCCTCTGTGCAGCTTCTAATAGTCTATGAACTTCCTGAGAATAACTTCTAAGGTTTCTTATTAGGATGATAATAATAGTCACAGTTTATTAAGGGTTTACTATATACTTGGCATAGTACAGTGAGATCCCCATGGATTATGATGGAAGGTTTAGAGAAGTGAAAGAACTCACACAGGATCATGCAGCTTGTAAGTAGGAGAGTCAGGACCTGAACTCAAGTCATGTGATCCCAAAGCCCATGTGTGGAAGCTCTCTGCAACATGCTTTGTCTCATTACTTACCAGCCCAACCCTGGCACAGAGAGTGAGAATGGAGGGGTGGGTGGGACCATCTAAAGGGTAATCATAAGTACCAAGGCTACCTCAGGGGACAATTGCCATTTTATGGATGCCAGGTCCTGCCTTTTAAAGAGCTCAAGTGACATTCAGAAATAGTTTCAGCATTTTAGGGAAGAAGCTAATAGCATACCCTGATTAAAGTCATCTTAAACATTAGTTGGCTAGGAGTGAAAAGTACAAAGTGACTCGGTGACACACATGGTCTCAAAGTACAAACAGCCATGGCCACTGCATTACCACCTCTCTGCTTAATTGACTTAACTAAGCTGCTTGTAAAACAAAACCTAACTCTTTTATTATATATTTTAAAGGAATGATTATATGAATGCTGCATCATTAGTGAGTGTGTGGCTTCTTATGGGAACTTGTCTGTTGCTACCCAACCCATGTGTAGAACAGAATATCATGATGCCCCAAGCTTTAATATTTTTTTACCTTCACCACTGGTTAACATTGCTCTTTCACTCCTCATTGCCCAGGGAATAAAGGCTTCATGGAAGAAAAAAACAACCCAACAAAAGTCTTTACAGACAGGTGTCAGGGACTCTGTTTCCTGACTAGGATTTCTAGTTTAAAAAGTATTACAGGTACATGACAGTCCTTGGCACAAGGGAGTAAAATATAACCACCCATATTTTGTCCATTAACCAAATACAGTGGTTAAAGCTACAAATAATATGATACATATCTTCCTTTAATATTTTATTTAAATTTAAAAGTAAAAATGAACCTTCATTTGCCACTTGTTTTAATGTATAATCAAGGCCTTTTCTTTGATCATGGATCTACTATTTCTTCTTTTTTTTTGCTTTTATTTTTTAAATTTTATTATTTTTTTAATTTTATTTTTTAAAATTTATATCCAAATTAGCTAGCATATAGTGCAACATTGATTTCAGGAGTAGATTCCTTAATGCCCCTTACCCATTTAGCCCATCCCCCCTCCCACACCCCCTCCAG